TTCAGACAAGTTACAGTAGTAGGCTGTATCTATCAGACAAGTTACAGTAGTAGGCTTTATCTATATGAGACAAGTTACAGTAGTAGGCTGTATCTCTATCAGACAAGTTACAGTAGTAGGCTTTATCTATATGAGACAAGTTACGTAACAGTAGTAGGCTGTATCTCTATGAGACAAGTTACAGTAGTAGGCTGTATCTCTATGAGACAAGTTACAGTAGTAGGCTTTATCTATATGAGACAAGTTACAGTAGTAGGCTGTATCTCTATGAGACAAGTTACAGTAGTAACCTGTATCTCTATCAGACAAGTTACAGTAGTAGGCTTTATCTATATGAGACAAGTTACAGTAGTAGGCTTTATCTATATGAGACAAGTTACAGTAGTAACGCACGTCTGTAAGATACCTCATGAAAGATACACATATAACATGTTGGCTACACACATATCAGATACCTCATTACAAATATGAAAAATAGATAGCTAACACATTGGCTACAGCCAACCTGAAGGGAAGGGTTTGCAACTGAAAAATCCAATCATCATTGATGAAATTGAAGAAGCAATGGGCAAAGTGGAATGTAAAGAAATGCATCTGAAAAATTAACTTTGGTCATCCACATCCATCTAAGAATGAGAAAACTGTCCATCTAGAACCAGTGGATAGGAAATTAGTTCAAGGATACTAACAATACCAATTGCCTGTTTTTGTATGGGAGTAAAACCCTAAAGTGGGGGTCAAGGACCTGGTTCACAGCATTCAGAACCAGAAAAGAAGATGCAGTTTCCTCCAAGTGCAAAACATACAAGGGACCAAAGAGATGGAAAGAGGAGGTTAGGTGTGGAAAGCATGTGTGTGATCCAAAAGTATTTTGCACAGTGAGACCACAGGTGTACAGAGTCAGAGAGCAGAGCACAAACTGGACCAAAGCTGAGGGGTGGCTACAGAAACAAATCATCTCCATGATCTGTGATGCTTAGACCTCTGAGAAGGGGGGATGCTGGAAAGCATCAAGGCTGGGAATTCTGAATTTGAGATTAGAATACAATAAACCATCTGATGCACAACAGTGGTAACATCATTGACCATCAGAGTGCCTCCAGTCACCAATGCCTCATGTTGTAGAACATCAGGACCTTGAAAGGTTTCAGAAACATAGGCACATGAACATATAATTGATTCAATCCAAAAAAGCATTTCTTTAAAGAAATTTGAGACTAATTATTGAAACCTGAACACTAGGGATTATAACAATGGGTAACAGTGCTATCAAAAAACTGTATCACAGACTCTGGAATAAAATCTCCGAATTTGATTTAGAGAAGAAATCAAATTAATGTAAAAAAATAATAATTCAAATCAGAAGTTATCATTGAAATTTTTAGATTTTTTATATCTGTCATTTCCAAAATCAAGAAAATAAAGGTAAAAAAGATGACACTTCAAATGCAAAAAAAAAAGCTTAAAATAATAAATGCAAAACACCAGTATTTGTAATTTAAAAAAACATGTCTCAAATGAAAAGGTGCCAAGGATAGAATGAGCTTTTGTTAATACATTAGGTGTACAAGAGGTCTACTGGACATAGAAGATTGTCACACTTATTACATGTACAAGAGGTCTACTGGACATAGAAGATTGTCACACGTATTACATGTACAAGAGGTCTACTGGACATAGAAGATTGTCACACGTATTACATGTACAAGAGGTCTACTTCACATAGAAGACTGTCACACTCTTACTGAAGATGGGCTTAGGACTAATGTTGAGATCATCACAGACTAACGCTGGACATATTAATATGTATTGGGGTGGGAATTTAATTCAAAACTTGGCACATGCAAAAAATGTTCTTTACGAGATTAATACACTACAAGTTTACCTCTAGTTTCATCAG